CTTGTCTTATAACCTTTACCTTTAACATGCTTGTCTTATAACCTTTACCTTTAACATGCTTGTCTTATAACCTTTACCATGTTGTCTTGTGTATAATAGTCTTTCTACTCTCCTGAGACAACTCTTTCCCTGTCTTCCTCTGGTCCATGCTGAGTGTGGTCCACACCATGTCACCTAACAGCACAGTGAGTATCTGTAGCTTATATACAGGCCCACTGACTGATTACACGTAGACACCTGTGATGATAATTAGTGACACACCTTGATTTAACATGATCCTTTGGTCACATTATTTTCAGGGGTACCATCATTTCTGTCCAGGCTTGTTTTATGAGGTTTATTTTTTTAATTTGGTTGATTTTTGAAAAGTAATGTCTGACTTTAATTTGTTCATTTTTAAAGAATTTTTATTTACCATTAGTTTTGTCAGATTTGAGTTATTTCTGAGACCACTGTGGATGTTTCTTTCATTAAACGAGGGGGACCAACAGTTTTGTCCACATGTGTACAGTTAATATGGTCTAGCAGGGGCAGTTTCCATGACTTTGTCTTTGGTGCATGCAGTGTGGGGGTAAAACTACTGATTGTTGTAAAAGAAGAAAAAACAGTCTAAGGTGAGAAAGTGGAGGATGACACATCACAGCCCCAAAGAATGCAGATTAGAGCGGGGCAGAGAGGAATGTGACACTGGAGGCCCAGTGAAAACTGATGAGTGGATGATGATCAGACATATTTGTGGTGCTGAGAACACATTATGAATGTATTTCTAACCTTAAACCAGGCCAGACTGAATGACAGCCTCAGATGATGACAACAGAAACAGAGCAGACAGCTAACAGGCTCGTGTTGAAGGTAGTGTTCTGACAGCTGACACCGTGAGTTTTAAAGGCTGCTGGTGTTTACAGTGTTAAAATAAAAATATTAATTCCCTGCTGCGTCTCCCTCCTCTCTGAGTTAGTGACAGAGCCTAAAGAGCTGAACCAAGCAGACTTTAAAGAAGTGCTCTGTTCTCTTCACAGATTATAATCCTGTCAGGAGCTTCTCATCAGACCTGCTTCTCCTCGGGGGGCAGCTTGCTCCACTCGTTGCCCAGCATCCTGGTGATCTCTGGAAAGGGCACGTCGGGCCGCTCCGCCCGCAGCTGCTCCCGCCTGTCGTTCATGAAGCGAACGTAGCCCGTCAGGGGGGCTTTGGGTGCGTTGCTGTCCTTCATTGGCTTCTTCCTTTTCCTCCCTTTGGTCCAGCTGCCACGCCGAGGTTTCTGCACACATCACAACCAGACGTGACTACAAGGTGCAGCTCCAGCCCGCTCTGCAGCCAGGACTGGGACTTCAGATTACCTCGTCTCCGTTCCTCTGGTTGTTGTTGTCAGCGCTGGCTGCAGGAGAGCCCGTCTGCTCATCCATCACTTTTAGGAGTGCAGGAAAACTCTGGGGAAAAGAAAATAAAACAATATTAGGTGGTAATTTTGATATACAATTTCTCTAATGAGTCCTAGAGGTCAAGGTATTTGTGTGTTAGTATCATCTTACACACTTCTGAAGGGATTTTAAAGAAACTGTCAGGACGTACATCTACACTATTTATTTGTACACAAAGCATTCTGGGTAAATGATGACGTGGATAGGTCCTCGGTGCGAGGCTGTTAGCGAGCTATATCCACCCTGAAGGTTAATCTTGGACAATATCTGATGATCGACTCTTTTAAATGAAACCAGAGAGCGTTGACAGAGAGGNGTTACATTATGTTCTGCTCAGATCACATTGAGCTAAATAAGATCAAATCTGCTGACTTGTTGTAAAATGAGATGTTTTCCTGTTTATCTTCTGTTAATAAATCCAGAACACAAACAGCTTTTCTGACATTGTTTAAAACACTAAATAGATTATTTAAACTGTAAAATATTAATAATAATTGGATTAATATTATTATTAATAGTTTTAATGATTTCTACATGGTCAGTCCTTTTTTCTGCTCTGTGGTCAACAAGTACAGTAATGGGAAATCCAGACTCTTGACTGTTTTGCGTTAGCCGTTAGCTTGACCAGCCGATCACATGGTCACCTGGTTTCTGAGCTCCAGCTGTTCTATAGAACCTCCTTAGTCACTCCTCAGCTTCCTTTCTCACCTCCTCTGTGCCTCTTGCCCTTCTGCTTCTCCTGGACCTTCCTGGTGTAGTGTTTGTACGCCTCTGTCTTCTGGTACTTCTCAAGCTCTCGCATGTAGCGCTCCTTATCCCGCTCAGCTTCATCTAAGTAACGCTGCAGAGACGAGACAAAGAACACAAGAACATCAAGGTTTAAAGACCAAAGAACACAAGAACAATAAGTTATAAAGACCAAAGAGCACATGAACAACAAGTTATAAAGACTAAAGAACACGAGAACAAGTTATAAAGACTAAAGAACACGAGAACAAGTTAAAAAGACTAAAGAACACAAGAACAACAAGTTATAAAGACTAAAGAACACAAGAACAACAAGCTATAAAGACTAAAGAACACGAGAACAAAAAGCCATAAAGACAAAACAACATGAGAACAACAAGCTATAAAGACTAAAGAACATGAGAACAAGTTAAAAAGACTAAAGAACACGAGAACAACAAGGTTTAAAGACTAAACACGAGAACAACATGTTTTAAAGACTAAACACGAGAACAACAAGTTATAAAGACTAAAGAACACAAGAACAAGTTATAAAGACTAAAGAACACAAGAACAACAAGTTATAAAGACTAAAGAACACGAGAACAAGTTAAAAAGACTAAAGAACACAAGAACAACAAGTTAAAAAGACTAAAGAACACAAGAACAACAAGGTTTAAAGACTAAAGAACACGAGAACAACAAGATATAAAGACTAAAGAACACAAGAACAACAAGTTATAAAGACTAAATAACACGAGAACAAGCTACAGCGGGTAAAATAAGTATTGAACACGTCACCATTTTTCTCAGTAAATATATTACTAGAGGGGCTAATGACATGAAATTTTCACCAGATGTCGGTAACAACCCAAGTGATCCATATATACAAAGAAATCAAACCATAAATGTCCGGAAATAAAGTTATTTGTAATAATGTGGAATGGCACAGGGAAAAAGTATTGAACACATTTACTGAAATTTATCTAATACTTTGTACAAAAGCCTTGTTGGTAATGACAGCTTCAAGACACCTCCTGTATGGAGAAACTAGTGGCATGCATTGCTCAGGTGTGATTTTGGCCCATTCTTGCACACAAACAGTCGTCAAATCTTGAAGGT